CTACACCCAGTTGTATAACGGCTCAGAGATCGTGGTGGCCGGTCGGCTGATGGACAATGACCTGGGCAACTTCATGGTGGAAGTGTTCGGCCAAGGGGTGAGGAGAAGGAAATGGCAGAAATTTAGAGACAATGCTGAGTTGGAGGGAGAACGTGTGTTTATTACTCTGTTTATTTAGAAATCCTTTTTTTTTCTGCCCTATAGTTTGAGCAGGACTTCACGGTGCAGGGCCAGGCCAGTGCTTTGGACTGGGACGTGATGTACCCAAATGAGGAGTACATCTTTGGGGATTTCACAGAGCGTCTATGGGCGTACCTCACCATCCAGCAACTACTGGAGAAGAGGTCTGTTATTCAGTAATTTCACTTAAGCTGATACCTGGATTCACCTGACATCTTTGTTTCCCATTGGTCACATGACCACCTTGTTAATGATACTTTTTGGGCACTGTGCTACTCCCCACCAACTGAGGGCCCATGATTAATCTTGTATTGTTAATTCATAGATTCCGTTGTGGTTTTCTGAATGTCAGTGTCATATGTGGCAACTTCGGTACATTTTCCTTCTTGCAGCAAGAGTGGAGCCCCAGACGAGAAAGCCAACGCCACAGCCAAGGCCCTGGACATGTCTCTGCATTACAGCTTCGTCACCCCCCTTACCTCCATGGTGGTCACCAAGCCTGATACTGAGGAGGGACCAGGCAGCCCTCTCATCGCTGATAAACTGACTGAGGGTGAGGGAGGAAAGAGAGGGTTTCAAAAGTGATAACTCTGCAGGCTTTCCTGATCATGGCTGCCGTCAAGCTTTTTCTCTGAAAAGCAATGCTGTAATACATTCACAAGCAGTACTGACTATTTTATTCATGTTTTCAACATATTATTTATTCAACTTGTCCATCTGTTGTTGTTTTTTGACAGAGCAAAGACAAGCGGCAGAGAGAATGTGTAAGACAGTTTTTTTTGTAACCATATAGCATAAAAATATAATTCTGGGATTAAGTCAATTCACCGTATTGCTTTCAATTTTAAATTGAATTGTTCCTTTTTCTAGCACATCGATATCGACCTCCTATGAATGCACCCCCTTTGTATTATCGCCCGGCAACACCCACATATTTAGGTAAGTACACTTTAAGCAATGGCAGCTGCATGGCTCTGGGGATGGCGATGTCTGTCAGTTTGTCACGACAGACATTAGATAGATTGCCAAGAAATTTATTGCAGACGTTCATGGTCCTCAGAGCATGAGTCCTGATGACTTTGGTGATCCCTGACCTTTTAATTAGCGCCATCATCAGGTCAAAATCTGTACCTATGGAGTGAAATATCTCATACTTGATAGATCCAAATACCATAGTTTATGACCAAACACCTGCAAAACAAATGACATTCCCATCAAATTCAACTGTATTTTCTGATTAGCGCATGCTAACGTGCTAAACTAAAATGGTGAACATGATAAACATTACACCTGCTAAACATCCGTGTATTAGTATGTTGATGTTTACTAACATGCTGTTTTTTTTAGCAAGAAGCACCACTGTGTCTATATGTGCAGCCTCACAGAGCAGCTAGCGTGACTGTAGACTGTTAGTCTTGTTGACATGTTGTCATCAGCAGAACAAACTAACCTCCATTGTGTTTGTTACTGTCATTCTACTGGTGTCACCCGCAGTGGATGGAGATCCTCATTTCATGATAGAGCTCCCTGACCGAGACGACGCACTGTGTTTCAATATCGACGATAAACCAGGAACCATTTTCAACCTGGTCAGAGACCCAACACAAGGTCAGCCTTGAGTCCTGATTATCATCATGACTTTTTTACCCCTTGACTTTTCACTACATATGTGGACTCCTTGTAGTCTGGGATTTTGGACACTTATGTGTTGGTAAATCATACCAAGCAGTTAAAAAGTGAGTGACTGAATCCCACGTTGTTTCCTCAGGTATTTTGGTCAATGGCCAAATCATCGGAGACAAGAAGATTGCTCCTGATGGTAAAGTTAACACCTACTTTTGCCGTTTTGGCATCGTCCACCGGACTCTGGGGGTGAGGCTGGAGGTGAGCACTCAGGACATCTCAGTGTTCCAGGACGGCAAACAGGTCAAATTGCTGTGGTCTGATACAGCTTCAGTCAAAGGACCCAAGTAAGGAAGTCAAAGAGAGCTATCTCTCTACATGTGAAAACTAAAATCCAGTTCAAGATGAATAGTTGTCATCTCCTTCCCCTTATTTCTCCTCCAGCGTGGATCTTTTCTTGACCAAGGATCGCAGCCTAACAGTAACTCTAAAGGATTCGGTCAAGTTTGTCATCCTGCTACACAAAGTGTGGGCGAAGCACCCGTACCACCAGGACTACTTGGGTTTCTACACCCTGGACAGCCACCTCCTGCCCCCGACTGTTCACGGCCTGCTAGGTACAACATGACACACATAGATTGCATGTTTTAAAATTGAATAGCAGGTCAAAACAAGTGATGTGGATTGCATTTCTGAATTCCTTGGATGGATTGCTGTTATATCTGTCACTTTGTTTGGGGATTGGCCCGATGTTGACTTACTTAGAGGCTAAGCGGAGTACTTAATTTTATAGTTCGCTTTGTAAATAGTACATGTGGCAAGTTATAATCGTGAACATTTGACAATTGCACATTGTAGTTCCAGCCCAGACAGAAGTCCACCTCATCGTGCACCCACTTAGGAAAAATATAAAATAAGAAAAGTGAAAGAATCTGCCATCTAAATCTGCAGCTCCCCTCTGCTTTACAGAAATAAGAACATTGTTTTTATTTGTGGCTTCAAATTAAACTGGACAGTTTCCCTATGTGAGACCTTAAAATTGTACAAAACAGGACTAGATTTACTTTACTTCACAAACACTCACAGGAGGAATTTCCCGTCGGGATTTGTCAGATTTGATGATTTTTTAAAGGATTTTCTAAACAAGATATGGTTTAAAGAAGTTACTAAACCGAAGACATAATCAAACAATTGTCTACATGATTCATGTTTCATATAGTATAAACAGAGGGATACAGTATAACAGATAGTTTGCATTTACTGGTGGAGAATTACAGGGCCTGAATGATTTGATTCTAAAATGATATTTACTTTAAATGGCGGTTTGTCCTCCAGGTCAGTTCTACCACGGGGTTGAATATGAGGTGTCAGACCTGCGTCCAGGTGAAGTCCCAGAGAAACCGGACGCCACCATGTATGTGAAAGGACAGGAGCTCAACGTGACCAGGTATACTACACCTACATGCACAGATACATGTGCCCCATCTCAGCGTGGAAGAGTTTGCATGCAATGTGTGTCCTAAATGAATAACTGGGTCTGTGTGACGTTTCTGTCTCGGTCCACAGAGGCTGGCAGAGAGACTTCAGGAGGGATGTGAAGAGAGGAGAAAACGTTCCCTGCTGGTTCGTTCACAGCAATGGAACCGGCCTCATCGACGGAGAAGCAACGGACTACGTTGTGTCAGGCCTTTTTAAAACAGTTTAAAAACAGGTTAGGCATCCATGCCTACCACAGAAGTAATTAACTTGAATTCATACAATAAATATTCAAATCTGTCTGTACTTACAACCATGAATGCTCTGACATCTTGTACCCAAAGGCAAGCAGGCTTCATTCACAGTATTGCATCGACAATTTCACAGTTTCTATCACTGTAGTTGCTGGAATTATAAAAAAATCGTAAGTAACACTGTTCCAAATCAGTGAGAGGAACTGAGTGAGCTGAATCACTTGTACTACAATAAATGTGACAGTTCTTTGCGATGGACTCAGGCTGGACTTATTCATTTCATCTCAGTGTTTCATAGTTCCCAACATTGTCCAGCACAACAGATAAGATCGTTAATGTTTGTCATTTTTGGGAATGTCCAATAAAAACCATTATGATGACGCTGGCACATCTGGCTTTACTGAATTGGTACAGTCAAGGAGTTTGCTAATGTCAGGAGCAAAGATATAAAGTGGGATCCAAAGTGTTTCCAAGCAGTGCAACTCTGATGACTGTGAGGTCTACTGTAGGACTCCTAAACCACATGATGCCAAATATATTTCAATCAGGGGGGAATTTATTAGAATTTAACAATGATTTATTATACATGCATAAAATATGAACAGTGCAAAGTCTTTGGCCATTGGACTCCATCCTGAAGTAATATAGCCGAGGGTAGGGATGCTGAGGTCAGATAAGGCCTAATCCCCCCTGGAGTCCAGACACTGGTGGTGGTGGTGGTGGTGATGAAGGGAGTTGCTGCAATCTGATGATGAATGAGGAGCAGGACTGTGATGCTGACTGGAGGTGACTGGGGTGGAGGAGGGTCTCATCTGATATGAGCTGAAATGACAACTGACAGCAGCAGAGAGGAGAACACTTTTTAAAGTTTGACAGCTAAGATGTGATTGGCTTTAATTAAGCAAACTGTGCAGAGTCTGGTTGGTTAACTTAAAGTGAACGCCCACAATGAGCTGATAGAGTAATCACAGAGAGAGAGAGAGAGAGAGAGAGAGACTATGAATGAAAATAAGTGTAAAGATAGTCTTCCTGACTGAATTTACGCTTGTTTTTTTTTATGCAACATTTCTTCACGTCCAAAAAGAAAATTCCAAATGACTGAGTGTTGTTTACTGCAGGAAATACACCGTAATTGTGGGTTGACAGTTTGTGAAGCTGTAATCCAACGTATTTAGACCTCAGCATAAGGAATAAATACATTTATGAAAGACAAATCACCTTGATTTACGTGACGTCAAAGCATGCAACACATGTGGTCGGCTAAACACACACACACACACACACACACACACACAGGTACATCCTGAAATCAACGATGAACAATTCTTGACTGGGGGGAGCATCATTTCAGTTTGTTTACGGGAAACACTGACTCAAACAAAAACAAGAGCTGCAGAGGGCCCCTCCTCCGGCAGAGTGTGGGTGGAGTAAAACTCTTACGGGAAGACCGAAGACTTTATCCCCACATGCCTCGAATTCCCTCCACACATTTTTTATTCAGCCTTCCCCGGGGCAGATGCGACACTGTTTCCCAACCATGCCTGCGCTGTGGAGAGCCATGCTGCTGTGGATTTGTGTCTGCGTCTGGCTTCCAGCTCAGGCCCGGGGAGCCCTGGTCGTTTCTCGCAGAAATGCTCTCTCACAGGTATTTAACGTGTGCAGCGTTTACATGCAAACGCATGTCTGTTTTGTTATTTTCTGTGGTCAGCAAGCGATCAGTCCATACACAGTTTATAAGACCCTGTAACTTCAGTTGTAAGAGTTGATCTAAATCCACAGGCACGCAAATGAAGTGCAGAGCGTGTCTGCCAGCAGAAAGTGTTTTCCCGGGGAAAAAAGACTGTTTAAGTATATCTTTCAATGAGGCTATTTAGTTTAATCAGGAAACGAAAAAAAACAAATAATAATAATTATTTAATTATCTATTGCAGTTTTTTTCGGGTTTGTAGTCTTTAAAAAAAATGAGATTGATTGCGTGTTTCTTTGTTTTTGTTTTATATACTTATAATTTAAAAAAATAATCTTAATTCGGGTTTTTTTCACTTGTTTTGGACCGTTTCTCCACTCTACGCATGCGCAGGCTGCTCTGAAGAAGAAGAAGGGGAAAAATGAAGCAACATTTTATCTGAGATAATAACCAGGCTCATCAGTGATGTCAGATGGACTATGACCTGTTATTACCTTAGTATGAGAGAAGTGCACGTCAATAAGGTTTCCTTCATTAAGTTAGTGAAACAACTTTTTGTCCGTTTTTTAAACATGAAAGTTTAGACAGTGATCATGTGATGCACTGTATGAGAGATACAATAACGCTATTGATCCACAGTTGACTCTAGTGGCCTTGGCCGTCACAGCAGCTTCATTATAGGCCTCATCTTTAAAATTATTCCTGCATGACTTGGTGCTCTCCTGCCAAGTGTGTGCAGTGTTCACCTCTAATTTATGCTTTACATTTGTTTTGAGAAATACAGTGTTTTTTTTCAATTTTCTTCATTGTGCGCATGAGCCAAAAGTGGCCGAGGCACACACCTCGCAGGACTTTGCAGAGCGAAAAACTGAAATAGGCCACATCCGGTATTTGCATTTTTATCTTTTACTGTAAATAAATATAGACATTATTAGACCAGAAATATCCCGACTTATAGGCTACTGTGGCTGTGCGCTGTAGGGATTGTGGTAATCCTGCAACAACAGCTTGTTTTACGAACAAAGCTGCTGTGAAGACCGAGATGCCGCTATATAACGTGAGAAGGTCAAATCAAAGAGTCGACGAGGGAAGAAGTGCGTTATTGGCTCCTTTCATACTATTGTTAATACATCACAGCACCGTCTAAACTCTTGTGTTTCAAAAGTCATCGGTGAGGCTGAAAAACTATTTAATCGACAATCTCGCAATAAGAAACCCATTAAAGACGCGGCAGAGATGCACATTTTTTTCCTTAATAGACCAGAATGCAATGCAGCTGCAAGAAATAATGCATTTCGACCAAGAAGGAGGTGTGTCATTGTGATGTTTGCTGCTCTTCCTCTCTTCTTGTGGCCTCCTATGCTTCAGTTTCTTTAACTAACAATGTCCTGTCATTTCAGACCTTGTCATAACTCATAACTCCATTAGTTGTCCCCATGGAGTTTTTCTGCCTCTGCCACCTGCCCGCCTATATGCTTCCACGGTTTGTATTAAAACCAGTCCACCAGCTTCTTCATGTTGCAACCAGCCTGCCGCTATACCTGTTTATTCCTGCCAGCTTGATTGGTGTGTGACCTTTACATCCAAAACTCTTTTCCCATGCCTGTCTCAATTTTTTTGTCTGATTCTGGGGCAACACCTTGCTTGCATAATCTACTCAAAACACTTGCTCTAAAAGACGTCTTGTGAAATAGAGAGGCAACTTTGATGATCATATCAAAAGCATGGAAGCCTCAGATAGAGACTACTGATGCAGTGTTTGTACAATGTTGTACAATCAAGTGTAGTGTTGGCAAATCGTTATATATTTGGTGCACATCTCTCTCCAGTCCTGCTTTTCTTTTCCCAATAACCATTAAGTCATATGTTGTGTTCCAGGAGACCGAAGAAGCCATGGGCCCCAGGTTATTAACGGTATGGATAATTAAGTCCTACACTGATTTTCGTTTCATCCTGCTGAAAATAAACTGCGTAACTTGTCTTTTTTTTCTTCTACAGAAAAGAAGCACAAGCTCTGTGAATGTAAGGAAACAATTTTGATATTCATATAACATTCTAAAGTCAAAACAGAGGTACGACCTTTCTTAACAACAAGGCATTTCTACATGCATGTTAATGTATCACTGGGAAATTAATAGTGTCGTGGTATTGTTACTGTTTGCAAAATGAAGTCCACATTTTCTATAAACCTCATTGCCTCCAGATGTCTCTTGTTCCGCTCTCTGCCCCTGCCGTGTCCATTGCCATGTATTTCTCTCTTCTCTTTGCTTTGCTTGAGATAATAAACATGCTGGAAGTGATTTGTCTCTCTGTGCTTTATTCCTTTCTCTAAACGTTTCAACTTGTTGTGTTTACATTAAAGTGACCTCTCTGGGTTTTGTGACATGAATGTTCTCTTGGCTACTGGTCTTGCTATAATATGTTTTAGATTTTTTTGTGGGTATGATTTATTATTGATGACACCTTTTTAGAAAGCAAGTGTCACATATTGTGAATCATCTCAACAAGGGGAGGATAAAGTAGACAGACCAGTCAGACAGGAAAGTTTTGGTGATGAAAATACAGACGCCTACTGGCATGAGGGGCAAGTCTGAACAGAATCAAATGAGGGTCCATGAAACATGAATGGAGCAGACAGGTACAGGTTTAGATGGAAAGCAACATTGTGACTTCAATGATGTCGAGGCTGAGAAGGGAAAGTGGAAACAGGTGGGTGGGGGTGGTGGAAAAGTCTGAGGGCATCTAGTGGACAGTTGAAGAATGACAATGAATGAGGCAGAATGTGAAACTGTCCCTCCTTTCAGATGGTGGAGGTGTTCAGTGTGAAAGTGGACTGCACGGTGATGTCTCGTTTCGCCCACACCGTCATGACCTCCAGGGCTCTGAACAAGGCAAACTCCTCACAGGAAATCTTCTTTGAAGTGGACCTGCCCAAGACGGCCTTCATCGTCAACTTCAGCATGTCAGTCAGAATATAGTACTTTTGACGATTGGAATAGATCCTGCCTATCTTCACCTTTTGACAAGTGTCTTTGTTCCTCACAGGGAAATTGATGGGGAGGTGTATGTTGGGGAGGTGAAGGAGAAAGAGAAAGCCAAGAAACAGTATGAGAAGGCTGTTTCCTCTGGACACACTGCTGGACTGGTCAAGTGAGTCGGACTGAAATATGTTACAGAGGGCTCTGAACCTGTGTTGGTGTGAACAACACATTAAAGTAACACATGAACATTATTACAGAGCTTCTGGGAGGACGATGGAGAAGTTTTCAGTGTCTGTCAACATCGCAGCCAAAAGCAACGTGACTTTCATTCTGACCTACGAGGAGCTCCTTCAGAGGAAACTGGGCCAGTATGAGATTCTGACTCGAGTTAAACCCAAACAACCAGTGCAGGAGTTTCAGGTGGGACACGCTTTCCTCATTCAGTTTTCTTAATAATGACATACTGTTCAGGAGGAGCTGAAATGTGTGTCCAGTGTTAGGAATGCATAGTGTGAGGAGGAACTTGTGTCAACATTAATGAGACTTTACATGACAATGACTCCACAATTGATCTGCCTCAGGGATAACTTTTGCGTGTGTGTGTGTGTGTGTGTGTGTGTGTGTGTGTGTGTGTTTGTGTGCGTGTGTGTGGAGACAGATTGTGACAAACATCTATGAGCCCCAGGGCATTGCTTTTGTTGAGGCCACTGCAACCTTCCTCTCCAATGAGCTGCTCCCCCTGGTGGAGAAAACCGTCACAGACACAAAGGTAAAGGGTTAGAAAGATTTCTATCCTGCTGTTTATAGACTTATAAGAACTTTATGATGGTTTTGTTAGAATATATGATGAGTCCTATAATGTCAACTGAAATGAATCTCTTTGTCTCTCAGGCACACATCTCTTTCTCACCAACACTGGAGCAGCAGAGGAAATGTCCAGGATGTGAAGGCACCATAATTGATGGAGATTTCATCATCAAGTACGATGTGAAACGAAGAGAGGGCCTTGGGGAACTTCAGGTCAGCGGCCAGCAAAGACTTTGCTTAGTATTTTACTTCTGATCTTCGTTTTACTTGCCTAGCCGTTTAAAGGCGAGCATAGCTGTGCCCTTGTGTTATATTTCCATAATAGTCTTAATCATATTCTGTATTTCCCTTCAGATTGTGAACGGATACTTTGTGCACTTCTTTGCTCCACCTGACCTGCCCAGAGTCCCAAAGAATGTGGCGTTTGTGATTGACAGGAGCGGATCAATGAGTGGAACAAAGATGGCACAGGTGAAATACTTTTTGTGTCGGTAAGCCACATACTGTATACATCACTATGCACATCTTCATGTGTGGATTTGGGAACCTTTGCAGACCCGCGATGCACTGGTGGCCATTCTGAAAGACCTCCACGAAGAGGACCACTTTGCTCTGATCCTGTTTGATGATGAAATTACCACCTGGAAGGACTCTCTTACCAAAGCAACAAAGGGAAATGTGGAGAAAGCCATTGCCTACATCAGGAAACTAAGAGACAATGGAAGTAAGAGGAAAGCAAATGGTAGCAACTTTTATGCCATGTTTTTGTGCACTTCCTAATTTTACAATTTGTCATCTTTTCATTTGATTTCAGTCTTAATGTCAAATGCCTATTCACACGACATTATAAACCTACGATACACACATCCTGTATTACTAAGGTTAATAGCTGAATGCAGAGCAAGGAAGAGGTGATTAAAGCAGGGTCTGAAAAAGGAAGGAGTGCCCTGAAGCAAGCAGAGACTCCAGGAAGTTGAATTGTCGTATTTACTCTTTGTTTTTGTATTGAGTAAACAAACACGATACAATGTATTATTTTTTTTAGAAGTGCAGATAATTGTATTTTCTCACTTTGGATCCAGCCTGGCTTCCCCCATACTTCCGGTCTTTATGCTAAGCTAAGAAAACCGCCGACTGGCTGTAGCTTCATATTTAGTGGACTGAAATGAGAGTCGTATGGAACTTCTCATCTAATGCGCCGCAAGAAAACGGAAAAAAATGAACTATTCCTTTAAAGAACACATTGAGGAATTGTTTTGTAGTTATGTCCTCTATGATGATGTTTCTCAACAAAAGTCCATGTTAATCTGCTCATTGTATTGTTACCTTTCAGGCACCAATATCAATGACGCTGTACTGAGGGCAGTGAGCATGCTGGAGAGAGAAAGACGAGACAAGAACCTTCCAGAGAGGAGTGCGGACATGATTATTTTACTGACTGATGGGATGCCAAACAGCGGTAAATGTCTTCATTTTAAGTTAAGATTTTAATATTCCATTCTAAAACATCAGAGTTCACTACATGTAGATTAAGTACAAGAGCTTAAAACAAGTCTGACATGTAGCTTGCTCTGATATAAAAAAAGTTGTGGTTCTGTGCACTGTGCATCAACATTTTGATAAGTAGATGTGTCAGAAAGTAGTCAAAAGGGTTTTATCTTTTCTGGTTTCTTTCTGTTTGTAAAGAAAGACCTGAGGAAGATCTTTTTAAGATTAAAACGTTGTCTGTGAATTCAGACAAACCTTTAGTGTGCTGAATCCCCTACAGATTTGTGAATGCAGCAATTTGATACACAATAGAAATCAAAGTTTGAAAAACCTTAGAAGTAACTTAAGTCTTGCTGTCATTATATGCTCACACATAACACTTGTGTGCCTGCTTGTGTACATGTAGGGGAGTCCAACCTGAAGAAGATTCAGGAGAATGTGGGCTCTGCTATTGGAGGGAAGATGACTTTGTTCTCTCTTGGATTTGGAAATGATGTGGATTACTCCTTCCTGGATGTGATGTCCAGACAAAACAAAGGAGTAGCCCGCAGGATCTTTGAGGGTTCAGATGCAGCTGTTCAACTCCAGGTAAGGTATTTACAGCAAACATAAAGTCCATGCCTGTTTGGAACTAATAGTATAATATATACATACACATATACACTGTACATATAGTATATATATATGTATATGTGTGTGTATGTGTGTGTTTGCATATCCAAGGAAAGAGACATGATTTGGAGTGTGTCTTTGTTCCAGGGTTTCTATGAGGAGGTGGCCAGCCCTCTGCTCTTGGAGGTAGACCTGCGTTATCCTGACCAAGCAGTGGGCTTCTTGACCAAAAACAACTACAGCCAGTTGTTTAACGGCTCAGAGATCGTGGTGGCCGGTCGGCTGACGGACAGTGACATGGATAACTTCCTGGTGGAGGTGTTCGCCCAGGGGGTGAGAAAAGGACAACAATATGTAAATTAAAGCATGAGTAAGACACTATCTGGTCATGGTGATGAATAAACAATATGTGCACTTGCTCTCATATTAGACAGTTCCTGTTTCTTAATATTTAATAATGAGAATGATATTGTGAACCAATTGAACTTTAGTAGATTGTCTCAGTCTACGTATTATTACTTTAGCATTTTCAGTTTCTTCTATGCTATCTCAGGGCCTCAGTAGGGATCAAATCATGATGACATGATGGTCCTATTTTACTGATCCTTAAGGGATGTTCACTGAAAAATCTCAACAACAATTTGAGAAGATTGCCATGTAATTATGCAGTCATGGTCCTCAGAGGATTAATCCTCCTGACTTGGTCCCTTAACTTATCATCAGGTCAAAATTAAAATTTGTCCAATATTTTGGTTTATGACTAATTACCCGCAAAACTATTTGATATTCCTATCAACCTCAGTCGTACTTCTTACTAATTTGCAAATGTTAGTCTGATAACATGCGAAACTAAGATGGTAAACATAGTGAACATTACACCTACTAAAGGGAGCGTATCTATGTTCCTACATTAAGTAAACGTTTGAAAAGGTTTAGTAGACTCTTAGCCTTGATATCAAATTATGTTATTTCCTCCCATCAGTAATACTAAATTTAATAAATTAAATTTCTCATCTTTCTGCTCTTTTATTAGCCGAAGGAAAACTTCCAGGTGCAGGGAAAGGCCAGTGTGGTAAACTTGGATGTGATCTACCCAGACCAGGAGTACATCTTTGGGGATTTCTCAGAGCGTCTGTGGGCCTACCTCACCATCCAACAGCTACTGGAGAACCGGTTTGTTCTTCTGAATGCTGTCTGCCATCTTTGTTTGTACCTGCACCAAGATTTGAAGCAGGCTTCTGCATGAACTCTGACATAATGTGCTTTTTATAGCACATCATGTGCGTTATATGTCATTATTAAACAATCAACTGCTCTGCTCTCTCTTCCTCTTCGATCTCCCAGTGACATTGGTACTCAGCAAGAGAAAGACAATGCAACAGCCAAGGTACTGGACTTGTCCCTGCGATACAACTTTGTCACCCCTCTCACCTCCATGGTGGTCACCAAGCCTGAAACTGAGGACGGACCAGTCGGCCCTCTCATCGCTGATAAACTGACTGAGGGTGAGGGAAATGCAACAGGCCACGTTTAATTAGTTAGAAGCTGATTAGAAGAAATAGTCGATCGTGATTATGTTATTTCTTTCAAATGTATAGCATATTGTCACATAATTAGAAACTTGTTGAGTCAGTAAGTAGAACATGCCAAAGACAACTATGTGTTAAAAAAAAGGCGCCTGCTAAATCGTCTGCTAAATGACTGTAATGTAATGTAATGAGTTGCGTGTTTTTCTAATTGTTGCCCTGTTTCACAGACCAGCGACAGAAAGCAGAGAGAACCAGTGGTACGACACTCTCTTTTAACTTAATTATGTGGAATACCTTATTAAACCTTTATTTCACCAGGACATTCCCATTTATGAATCTCGTTTTGGGCTGAACAACTGAAGTATGCTTTTATTGTTTTTGATAACAGGTTCCGGCGGCGGTGGTTCCAGTGCCGCCAGTTCCCGTATTAGCAGTTCCCGTGGTGGCAGTTCCCATATTAGCAGTTCCAGTGGTAGCAGTTCCCGTGGTAGCAGCTCCCGTGGTAGCAGCTCCCGTGGTAGCAGTTTCCGTGGTGGCAGCTCCCGTGGTGGCAGTAGCCAATCAGATGGTAAGCCGTTAATGCAGCAGTAGTCTAACTATTATATCATTCTAACATATGTATGTGTTCGTCGTTCAGGTCACTGTACTTAAATCCTCTATTACATTATTTTTTCTTGGTCCATACAAGACCAGACTCAACGAACACAGGAATTATGTGTTTTATTCTATCTAAAATAAAGTCATTACAGCCATATCAGCCATATCAGATCCAATGATATGACACCTGTTGCATGTATTTATTCTATTTTGGTTTGTTTTCTATTTTGTTTCTGTTTTTTTACACCAGCTGTTTTTGGATCCATCACATATGAATGTTCGTATTTCATACTGAAGAAATCAGGGCGGCAAACCCACTTGAGTTTGACTGTCCGACATTATATTTTAACGATGCTTTTGCAGTGGACGGAGATCCTCACTTCATGATCGAGCTGCCAGATAGAGATGACGCTCTGTGCTTCAACATCAACGACAAACCAGGAACCATTTTCAACCTGGTTAGAGACCCAAAATCAGGTCAGCCCTGAGTTTACTAAAAAAGAAGACTCTTTATTTGTGAGAAACGTTGAGAATGGAAGAAAAATAACTCAAACCTGTCATTATTATCAGGCTTTGTGGTGAACGGCCAAATTATTGGCAAGAAGAAAGTCGTTCAGGATGGTAACATCGACACCTACTTTGGCCGTTTTGGTATCATCCACCAGAAGCTGGGGCTGAGGCTCGAGGTGAGCACTCAGGACATCATCGTCTTCTACGAGGGCAAACAGATCAAGCTGCTGTGGTCTGATACGGCCTCTATCAAAGAAACAAAGTAAGTAACACTGCTTTGCAAACACATGAATTAAACTAAATGATTTGTATAATTATTTAATAGGTAACATTTTTTGTTTTTTCTCCAGTATGGACTTCAGGTTAACTAAGAACTGCGAACTGACAGTGACGCTGAGGCACTCGGTTAGATTTATGGTCATCAGACACACGAAGGTTTGGAAGAGACGCCACGACCAACAAGACTACCTAGGGTTCTACACCCTGGACAGCCACCACTTGTCTGCCTCTGTTCATGGTCTGCTAGGTAAAGGACTGTGAGAAAGTGTCATATAGTGATGCATTGATTGCGTAACTGATTCCTAATTTTGAATAACTCTAAAAAATATCTTTCTCCAGGTCAGTTCTACCACGGGGTTGGGTTTGAGGTGACAGACCTGCGTCCAGGTGAGGTCCAGGAGAAATTAGATGCCACCATGTACGTGAAGGGACAAATACTCAACGTGACCAGGTGAACATGCCTCATCAATTTTAAACACACACACACACACACACACACACACATAATGCATGCAAGATAAAAGAGTATTTCCTTTTGCATATTCTCACCTCATCATGTTTTTTTTCATTATCTCCTACACAGACACTGGCAGAAGGACTTCAGCAGGGATGTGAAGAATGGGGAAAGTATTCCCTGTTGGTTTTTTAACAATGATGGAGCAGGCCTCGTTGATGGAAGAGCCTCAGACTACATTGTGTCTGGGCTTTTTAAGGCTACTTTTTGAATCTTGAAAAGTCAAAATCTCAGTGACAATGCAATGGGGCCACATTATTGTGGTTAGAGATTGCACATTACAGTGAGTCAGTGTGGATTTACTGATGACATAAATAATATGGTAGGTAAAGCTTTCCAATATTAGGCTGTCATAGAATTATATAAGTCTGAGTATTTCACATACCAAATTAACTTTTCTACACTTCTTTGCAATCAAATCAATATTTTGCTGTACATTTGTTTAGCCTCCTGTCAGTGCAGTACAGCCTGTACCTCGCTCAGCCCAGCATATTTGGGTTTAATGTCTTTGCACTTTGGGTTCACTTCAAGGTAACATGGGTGTGTACATGACCTCGGCCACAACTGTATGTGTTGTGCCTCACTCTGTGCTTTGGGAGCTGCACCTTGATTCACAAAAATGTTGCTTCAAAAAAGAGGACACTTCTACACTGGTGTAAAAACCCACTCACATAGTAGTGTCAGACTACAGTCATTTCTGCACTAAGTTGAAAAAAATATTCAAGTCAGTACTTATGAAACCTTAGTGATACTGTTTGCATTATGTTCATTAATGTTCCTCTACATGTATGCTTTATAAATTATTTATGGTGGAACAATCATTACTGACAGATCCAGCAATCCAAAATTGAGTCACATGTGACCGCTATGTACTCACATTTACTCCTGACACAGCTACATGCAAGTCATGAAAGGAAACACTTTCTATACATTTCATCTGGGTGCCATGCTTCAAGGAATATGTATTGTTTTCCCGAAAGACATTAGGAGAGAAAAGTGTCACTCTAATGATAATAAAAAAGGGTCATGATTTATCTTTGTTTCATTTTTAACAACAAGCAACAAATCTACCAATGTGTTTTGATATATAAAGCCTTTGTTAATGGCCCTGAACGCCCATGGTACACCCACACAGGTGATTTCAATTGACTAGCTAATTAGTTGTCCTCTCTGGACTGCATGGGCTTGAAGAGACAGACTTTTTTCACAGCAGACTTTTCAACTTGTCAACTCGTCAAGAGTAAGAAAATCACTTACTAATAACATTAATTGAGGCTCCACTCTAAGTGTCCCAGTAAGCCACATCAGTGTGACAATGAGCCACCATGTACAATACTCGGACTCTGAAGCTAAATAAGCTAGATGTCAGCCATTGTTAATGTTATAAGTATCTAATTGTCAGGTAATTGTTGAAAGTTTACATTAGTTCTCAGTAGTAGTCTCTTCTTTTGTCATTATTTCACTATTTCCATTGAAGTCCCTGAATGTCATACAGTGGTGTGTGTTTCTTTTTTTTGTCATTGTTCAAAGCTTTATTGTTAAATGGACGCATTTTTGGCACGACTCAAAATGTAACCACTCTGCCTGCCTCTGGAAATGTTTGACCTCTACCTTTTGAGCTATCAGACATCCAAGCTGCATTCTAAATCACACACTTTATTTTTTTACTTTCAGTACAGACTGCAGTTGCCCTTACAAAGTACGTACTGTTGCAGTATTTCATCATTGTTAAACAGTCCAAAGGGAAATGTCCTCTGTGTACCAAATCTTTATGAGTATTGTTTTTACCACAGGAAGTATTATCATATAACACTTAATTGGTGGTTTACACTTTGTATTGCGTTAATCAACCGTGGAGAAGAAATAAATATGTTAATAAAAGAGAAAAACACAAGATTCATTATGTCAATTATGACTCAGTATCTCATAATGGGCTTCCATAGCTAAAGCCTGAAATCAACAACAGACTGGAGGACTGACTCCCACAAACCCATGAGTTTCAGAGGGTCCTCCCTCTTCCGGTAGAGTGTGGGTGGAGTAAAACACTTGTCCCCGCCTCGAATTCCCTCCACGCTTGTTTTCAGCCTTCCCCAGGGCAGAGGCGACAGCTGTTTCCCAGCCATGCCTGCGCTGCGTAGAGTCATGTTACTGTGGATTTGTGTCTGCGTCTGGCTTCCAGCTCAGGCCCGGGAAGCCCTGCTCGTTTATCGCAGAAATGCTCTCTCACAGGTATTTAACGTGTGCAGCGTTTACATGTAAACAATGCCTGTTTTGTTATTATCTGTGGCCAGCTTGCACTTCATTAGCGATCACTCCATACACCGTTTATAACAGCCTGAATCTGCAGTAAAGTCATATCTATTTATTACTAAGTTACTGGTAAGAATTGATTTTTTTCCATGAAAACATCAACCACAGGAAGTGGCGTGCGTAGCGTGTCTGGCAGCAACAACTGTTTTCCTGGGAAAATGATGATTTCCAGCTGTGTCATCTGATCTTTCTATGAGACTATTTAAGTAGGGCCAGAGCACCGATGAAGTCGGAGCAGAGGACCTATTGTTTTTCTCATGTTTATTGTTATTATTATCATTATTCTCGTACGTCTTTCAGCGCGAAATACAGCTCCTGAAATTTGACGCATCATTCAGTCATGGTGAAAATAGCCGTCTGATGTGGTTGCGAAATGACTGCTGTTAGAGCAGCCCCAACATTGCGTTTCACCTAGTTGTATGAAATTTGGTAGGTATATGCAGGGGCGTCGTTAGGCCTATTTTAGGGGGGCTGAAGCCCCCCTAAAATGTTCTTCAGCCCCCCCAAATAATTTGGCATTATTGGATTAGAAAAATGGTGATGTCATTAAATTAAACTATTGTTTCTCACATGGACAAGTTATTTATAACTCTAACATGCTACATATGTGAGTGCATTCTGGTTTGTATGTTTTCTCCCCCTTCAAATTACAATCCAATAGCCTATCATCATACTTAACGATATAAAGTTGACACTGTCAGGTCCATTCTCCATCCATTGTGTGCGGCCCCTTTAAGAGTTAGGATTTGGGAGTGACGTGGATATGAAAGCTAGTTTATCCGTCTTTTCTTTACAAGCAGGAAAATTATTTCTCTCTTTATTTGAGAAAAGTTCATATTTGAGTTGTCAAATTTCACTATGACCCTGAAATTCTGTCTCTTGTGTTATCATATACTGAATGCAAGCAAAACTACAGAGCAAAATCACACTCTGATTGAACCAATCTATGAACTGTCTGAAACAATGGATATCCACGGCCCCAAAATTGCCGCGCACTACGGCCGCAAACATGCCACTCCCCTTTGGGCTAAGCCCCCCTTTCTTTGAATCCTAGAAACGCCCCTGGGTATATGTAACATGATGGGATGTACAAAAAATCCTCTTAGAGGTATGCCCTTAACCCAACAGGAAGTCAGCGATTTGGAATGTTATGACGTTTTTTGACAATTTCAAGGTGCCGTACTTTAACGAACTCCTCCTAAAGATTTAACCCGATTGACTTCAAATTTGGTCAGTATGATCTTGTGACCTTTGCAGTGAAAATGTATCAAAAAATCTAAAAGTTATCAAACTATGTATCCGTGGCGGCAAATAAACACCATTCGCCATGAAACAGGACGTTTTTGTAATTTAGCCATACATTGTCTAATCTGCTCCAAATTTCTCATAAATCATAAAATCCTGACCCTGAAGACATCTATATGACAATTTAGAATCATCGTATTAGTGCCACCTAGTGGCAACAGGAAGTTACAGGTTATGTACTTTTACATCCTTCTCCTCACAGATTAATCAGATCCGTCTCAAATGTTGTCAAATAAGCCTTAAGACCTTGATAATGCTTCATTGTGAAGATTGTAAGAATTTGTTGAAGGGTGGCGACGTGGCGATCATTCACTGTGAACAAATAAACTGATGTAACTTGAATCCTCATGGTCAGATCTTTTCCAAATTTTACACGTTTGATGAGACTCCAGACTTGAAGACATCTACAGGACAATTATGTGTAATAGTCATAGCGCCACCTACTGGTAACAGGAAGTCAAAGTCTCTATACTTTGGCTTGTTTCTCTTAGGTTAATCAGATCGCCTTCAAATTTGTTCCACACAAATGTAAGAAGTTAATAATGCCAGCCCACAAATCTTTTGATGTTTCGTGGAACGCTGTTGCTGTGGTGACTCATTTTTGTGCTTTTGAGGGGTTAAAGTGCCCAAAATATAACCAAACATGGCACACACATTTAACGTGCTAAATGCAGTTACCTGATATGATTTTAACGCTTCAGAGTGGCAAGTCGGCTCGATGGAGCCCCTGAACAAAAGTTCGACGAAGCAGCCCTCGCAGTACGTTTCACATAAATATCTAAAATTTGGTAGGCACATGTAGGCCTATCACATGTAGACTTAAAAAAAAAAATGCTCTAAACCACGTGTCAAACTCCCGCGAATCTGCCAGCTAAAAAAAATAATTAATTAAAAGTTAGACTTGAAAAAATAAATATCCCTGTGGTCAAAATTCTGAGATAGAAAGTTGAAAATATGACTTTTAATATCATAATTTCACACACATCCAGTCTTTTGTCGATCTTTACAGGGTTACATTTACGATTGTATTCAGAGTTACACTCAAAACATTCAAGGCTTAAGACCTGGCAAAATGTCCTGGCTATGCCGCTGGTCCACGCTGAAAATACAGTCTAACTCATGCATGCAGTGTCTGATGGTCACACAAATGAACGGCCGCGTCAACCAGAGTCCTGCCAGGACCCTCGACGTGCAGGAAGGTGCAAGGGCCCAATCAATGCTGCTTGCAGCTTTAATTCATTTTTTTCTTTTGATTCTTAGGCTTACAAAAAAGAAATTAACTGCACATTTTCTTGTTTTTGTCTTGAAATTTGTAATCTAATAATAAGAATTAAAAAAACTGAAGAAAAACTTTGTAAAGCAAGTTTTTAATAAACAATGAAGGTACATTTTAAGCCCACTAGTTGAGTTAGTGGGGTTTTCCTGATCCTGCCACCTGCCCACCTACTTCCACAGTTTAAATGAAGAACAGTCCACCAGTTTGTTCATGTTTCAACCAGCCTGCCGCTCCCTGCTTATTCCTGCCAGCTTGATTGTTGTGTGACTGTGACATCCAAAACTCTTTTCCCATGCCTGTCTCAATTTTTTTGTCTGATTCTGGGGCAACACCTTGCTTACGCAATCTACTCGAAACACTTGCTCTAAAAGACGTCTTGTGAAATAGAGAGGCAACTTTGATGATCATATCAAAAGCATGGAAGCCTCAGATAGAGACTACTGATGCAGTGTTTGTACAATGTTGTACAATCAAGTGTAGTGTTGGCAAATCGTTATATATTTGGTGCACATCTCTCTCCAGTCCTGCTTTTCTTTTCCCAATAACCATTAAGTCATATGTTGTGTTCCAGGAGACCGAAGAAGCCATGGGCCCCAGGTTATTAACGGTATGGATAATTAAGTCCTACACTGATTTTCGTTTCATCCTGCTGAAAATAAACTGCGTAACTTGTCTTTTTTTTCTTCTACAGAAAAGAAGCACAAGCTCTGTGAATGTAAGGAAACAATTTTGATATTCATATAACATTCTAAAGTCAAAACAGAGGTACGACCTTTCTTAACAACAAGGCATTTCTACATGCATGTTAATGTATCACTGGGAAATTAATAGTGTCGTGGTATTGTTACTGTTTGCAAAATGAAGTCCACATTTTCTATAAACCTCATTGCCTCCAGATGTCTCTTGTTCCGCTCTCTGCCCCTGCCGTGTCCATTGCCATGTATTTCTCTCTTCTCTTTGCTTTGCTTGAGATAATAAACATGCTGGAAGTGATTTGTCTCTCTGTGCTTTATTCCTTTCTCTAAACGTTTCAACTTGTTGTGTTTACATTAAAGTGACCTCTCTGGGTTTTGTGACATGAATGTTCTCTTGGCTACTGGTCTTGCTATAATATGTTTTAGATTTTTTTGTGGGTATGATTTATTATTGATGACACCTTTTTAGAAAGCAAGTGTCACATATTGTGAATCATCTCAACAAGGGGAGGATAAAGTAGACAGACCAGTCAGACAGGAAAGTTTTGGTGATGAAAATACAGACGCCTACTGGCATGAGGGGCAAGTCTGAACAGAATCAAATGAGGGTCCATGAAACATGAATGGAGCAGACAGGTACAGGTTTAGATGGAAAGCAACATTGTGACTTCAATGATGTCGAGGCTGAGAAGGGAAAGTGGAAACAGGTGGGTGGGGGTGGTGGAAAAGTCTGAGGGCATCTAGTGGACAGTTGAAGAATGACAATGAATGAGGCAGAATGTGAAACTGTCCCTCCTTTCAGATGGTGGAGGTGTTCAGTGTGAAAGTGGACTGCACGGTGATGTCTCGTTTCGCCCACACCGTCATGACCTCCAGGGCTCTGAACAAGGCAAACTCCTCACAGGAAATCTTCTTTGAAGTGGACCTGCCCAAGACGGCCTTCATCGTCAACTTCAGCATGTCAGTCAGAATATAGTACTTTTGACGATTGGAATAGATCCTGCCTATCTTCACCTTTTGACAAGTGTCTTTGTTCCTCACAGGGAAATTGATGGGGAGGTGTATGTTGGGGAGGTGAAGGAGAAAGAGAAAGCCAAGAAACAGTATGAGAAGGCTGTTTCCTCTGGACACACTGCTGGACTGGTCAAGTGAGTCGGACTGAAATATGTTACAGAGGGCTCTGAACCTGTGTTGGTGTGAACAACACATTAAAGTAACACATGAACATTATTACAGAGCTTCTGGGAGGACGATGGAGAAGTTTTCAGTGTCTGTCAACATCGCAGCCAAAAGCAACGTGACTTTCATTCTGACCTACGAGGAGCTCCTTCAGAGGAAACTGGGCCAGTATGAGATTCTGACTCGAGTTAAACCCAAACAACCAGTGCAGGAGTTTCAGGTGGGACACGCTTTCCTCATTCAGTTTTCTTAATAATGACATACTGTTCAGGAGGAGCTGAAATGTGTGTCCAGTGTTAGGAATGCATAGTGTGAGGAGGAACTTGTGTCAACATTAATGAGACTTTACATGACAATGACTCCACAATTGATCTGCCTCAGGGATAACTTTTGCGTGTGTGTGTGTGTGTGTGTGTGTATGTGTGGAGACAGATTGTGACAAACATCTATGAGCCCCAGGGCATTGCTTTTGTTGAGGCCACTGCAACCTTCCTCTCCAATGAGCTGCTCCCCCTGGTGGAGAAAACCGTCACAGACACAAAGGTAAAGGGTTAGAAAGATTTCTATCCTGCTGTTTATAGACTTATAAGAACTTTATGATGGTTTTGTTAGAATATATGATGAGTCCTATAATGTCAACTGAAATGAATCTCTTTGTCTCTCAGGCACACATCTCTTTCTCACCAACACTGGAGCAGCAGAGGAAATGTCCAGAATGTGAAGGCACCATAATTAACAGAGATTTCATCATCAAGTACGATGTGAAACGAAGAGAGGGCCTTGGGGAACTTCAGGTCAGCGGCCAGCAAAGACTTTGCTTAGAATTTTACTTCTGATCTTTGTTTTACTTGCCTAGCCGTTTAAAGGCGAGCATAGCTGTGCCCTTGTGTTATATTTCCATAATAGTCTTAATCATATTCTGTATTTCCCTTCAGATTGTGAACGGATACTTTGTGCACTTCTTTGCTCCACCTGACCTGCCCAGAGTCCCAAAGAATGTGGCGTTTGTGATTGACAGGAGCGGATCAATGAGTGGAACAAAGATGGCACAGGTGAAATACTTTTTGTGTCGGTAAGCCACATACTGTATACATCACTATGCACATCTTCATGTGTGGATTTGGGAACCTTTGCAGACCCGCGATGCACTGGTGGCCATCCTGAAAGACCTCCACGAAGAGGACCACTTTGCTCTGATCCTGTTTGATAATAAAATTACCACCTGGAAGGACTCTCTTACCAAGGCAACAAAGGGAAATGTGACTGAAGCCATTGCCTACATCAGGAAACTAAGAGACAAAGGAGGTAAGAGGAAAGCAAATGGTAGCAACTTTTATGCCATGTTTTTTGTGCAATTTATTGGGATCTGGCAGAAGCGTGTTTGGTTATCAGCAAGTGTGAAAACTAAATTCACAACATTAATAAAATGATTAATATCAATAAGATTAATAACATATTAATAATAATGGGCACCATCCTGGGATCAGGGACCAATAACCAAACTACTGATTAAGTCTCCAAATTGGTGTTGAAAATGTAAATAGTCAAAGTAAGTAAGACATAAGTCACAAAGTGCTTAACAGGGGCAGAATTACAAACATAAACAACACAATGTGACCATATAAGGGCCAATAATTTACATACACACAGAAAGTACAAAATTAAAATGTGGTTTAAAAGCAAAATTAAAACATGGTTTAAAAGCAGGCCTAGGACATGAATTTTTAGTCAAATGCCAGTCTAAACAGGTGTGTCTTGATATCGCGTCATAGCGGTTAGTGCGTTCCTTCGGATTTGTAGACTTAATTTCTCTGAGCCTAGAACCGGGAACCTCTTGACTGCACTCTATTGGGGGGTCAAACTGCAATTGTATGACAGCGGGGATTTGTCTTTGGATTTGTAGGCTGAATTCCTCTAAGCCTAGAACCAGGGACCTTACCGCTCTAGCAACGGGTGAAACAGCGAGCTGATTCTCCTCTGGCGGCAGAGAAAACAGCAAATGTCGACTTGAAGAATCCGGGAACTGATGGGTGTATTTTGTTACTTTTGGACTGAGCCAGGCTTCCCCCATGCTTTGTCTTTATGTTAAACTAAGAAAACTGCCTGCTGGCTGTAGCTTCACATTTAGTGGACTGAAATGAGAGTCATATGGAACTTCTCATCTCATGCTCAGCAGGAATTATTTTGTTGTTTATTTGTAGTTATGTCCTCTATGATGATGTTTCTCAACAAAAGTCCATGTTAATCTGCTCATTGTATTGTTACCTTTCAGCCACCAATATCAATGACGCTGTACTGAGGGCAGTGAGCATGCTGGAGAGAGAAAGACGAGACAAGAACCTTCCAGAGAGGAGTGCGGACATGATTATTTTACTGACTGATGGGATGCCAAACAGCGGTAAATGTCTTCATTTTAAGTTAAGATTTTAATATTCAATTCTAAAACATCAGAGTTCACTACATGTAGATTAAGTACAAGAGCTTAAAACAAGTCTGACATGTAGCTTGCTCTGATATAAAAAAAGGGGTGGTTCTGTGCACTGTGCATAAACATTTTGATAAGTAGATGTGTCAGAAAGTAGTCAAAAGGGTTTTATCTTTTCTGGTTTCTTTCTGTTTGTAAAGAAAGACCTGAGGAAGACCTTTTTAAGATTAAAACGTTGTCTGTGAATTCAGACAAACCTTTAGTGTGCTGAATCCCCTACAGATTTGTGAATGCAGCAATTTGATACACAATAGAAATCAAAGTTTGAAAAACCTTAGAAGTAACTTAAGTCTTGCTGTCATTATATGCTCACACATAACACTTGTGTGCCTGCTTGTGTACATGTAGGGGAGTCCAACCTGAAGAAGATTCAGGAGAATGTGGGCTCTGCTATTGGAGGGAAGATGACTTTGTTCTCTCTTGGATTTGGAAATGATGTGGATTACTCCTTCCTGGATGTGATGTCCAGACAAAACAAAGGAGTAGCCCGCAGGATCTTTGAGGGTTCAGATGCAGCTGTTCAACTCCAGGTAAGGTATTTACAGCAAACATAAAGTCCATGCCTGTTTGGAGATATATGTGTATATATACATATATACACATATATATATATATATATATATATATATATACTGTATATATATGTGTGTGTGTGTGTGTGTGTTTTTGTGTGTGTGTGTGTGTGTGTGTGTTTGCATATCCAAGGACATTTAAGAAAGAGACAATGCATGATTTGGAGTGTGTCTGTGTTCCAGGGTTTCTATGAGGAGGTGGCCAGCCCTCTGCTCTTGGAGGTAGACCTGCGTTATCCTGACCAAGCAGTGGTTTTCGTGACCAAAAACCACTACAGCCAGTTGTTTAACGGCTCAGAGATCGTGGTGGCCGGTCGGCTGATGGACAATGACCTAGGCAACTTCCTGGTGGAGGTGTTCGCCCAGGGGGTGAGAAAAGGACAACAATATGTCAATTAAAGCATGAGTATTACACTAGCTTGGTGAACAGACAAAATGCGAGACAGTTCCTGTGACTTAATATTGAATTGTGAGAATGATAATACAAACAAATTTAACTTCAGTAGATTCTCTCAGTCTACATATTATTACTTTAGCAATTTCAGTTTCTTCTATACTATCTCAGGGCCTCAGTAGGGATCAAATCATGATGCCATGATGGTCCTATTTTACTCTTCCATCTCTTAAGGGATGGTCACTGAAAAATCTCAAACACCAATTTTGTTGGATTGCCATGTAATTATACAGTCATGGTCCCCAGAGGATGAATCCTACTCACTTGATCCCTTAACTTTTCTTCAGGCTTCATCATCAGGTCCAAATTTGAAATTTGTCCAATACTTAAGTTTATAACCAAATACCTGCAAAACTATTGGTGTTCCTATCAACGTCAGCTGTACTTTGTATTAATTAGCAAATGTTAGTGTATTTATATTCCTACATTAAGTAAACTTTTGAAAAAGTTTAGTAGACTCTTAGCCTTGATATCAAATTATACTATTATTTCGTCCCCTGTAAGTAATACTTGAAATTCAATTTCTCATCTTTCTGCTCTTTTATTAGCCGAAGGAAAACTTCCAGGTGCAGGGAAAGGCCAGTGTGGTAAACTTGGATGTGATCTACCCAGACCAGGAGTACATCTTTGGGGATTTCTCAGAGCGTCTGTGGGCCTACCTCACCATCCAACAGCTACTGGAGAACCGGTTTGTTCTTCTGAATGCTCTCTGCCATCTTTGTTTGTACCTGCACCAAGATTTGAAGCAGGCTTCTGCATGAACTCTGACATAATGTGCTTTTTATAGCACATCATGTGCGTTATATGTCATTATTTACCAATCAACTGCTCTGCTCTCTCTTCCTCTTCGATCTCCCAGTGACATTGGTACTCAGCAAGAGAAAGACAATGCGACAGCCAAGGTACTGGACTTGTCCCTGCGATACAACTTTGTCACCCCTCTCACCTCCATGGTGGTCACCAAGCCTGAAACTGAGGACGGACCAGTCGGCCCTCTCATCGCTGATAAACTGACTGAGGGTGAGGGAAATGCAACAGGCCACGTTTATTACAGATGAGTAGGAAAAATAATTAATAGTGATCTGCTAAACTGACCAGTAAAACCAGTATATTATTTATTTAAAATGTATAGCATATTGTTATTAGAAACCTTTTAAATATGTATATGTATGTAGAAAACAACTATGTGTTGTGTGTTTTCTAATTGTTGCCCTGTTTCACAGACCAGCGACAGAAAGCAGAGAGACATAGTGGTAAGACACTCTTAACTTAATTATGTGTAATACCTTATTTAATCTTTATTTTACCAGCATTTGTTTTTGTTTTTTACGTCAGTCCTCTTTTGATTCACCACACATGTATATACGTATTTCAAACACACTTGAGTTTGACTGTTATATATGCTTTCTGTATGACAGGATACGTTGATGATGTTACTGCTGAGAGCGAAGATTACTCGATGTCAGACAGCGAAGATGATTACTTGATGTCAGAGAGCGTCGATGATTACTTGATCCCAGCGAGCCAAGCTTACTGGATTTCAGGGGGCGAATATGAGTATGACGTGAGAAATGACGCTACGTGCTTCAACATCAACGACAAACCAGGAACCATTTGCAACCTGGCTAGACAACCTATGACAATGTTACTGATGGTTACACTGATAATGTGTGCTGTTTGTGAAAGTTAGAAAGTAGACCGATGGATTTACTGATGACATAAATAATATGTTATGTAAAGCTTTCCAATATTAGGCTGTCATAGAATTATATAAGTCTGAGGATTTCACATACCAAATTAACTTCTCTACACTTCTTTGCAATCCAATCAATATTTTGCTGTACATTCTTTTAGCCTCCTGTCAGTGCAGTACTGCCTGTACCTCGCTCAGCCCAGCATATTTGGGTTTAATGTATTTGCACTTTGGGTTCACTTCAAGGTAACATGGGTGCGTACATGACCTCGGCCACAACTGTACCAATTGTGTTGTGCCTCACTCTGTGCTTTGGGAGCTGCAACCTTGATTCACAATACAGCTATTGAAAAAGTGTTTTTTCAACAGCTGAACAACTTCTTGGCGTAAATAACTGTTTTGATGTCTTCCAGTCAGGCCTTCGACAGCACCACAGTACTGAAACAGCTCTTGTTAAGGTTTTCAATGACATCCACTTAGACACAGACAATGGCAGAATTTCAGTCTTAGTATTACTAGATCTCAGTGCTGCATTCGACACGGTCGACCATGACATACTACTAGAAAGACTAAAAATTTGGGCGGGACTTTCTGGCACAGCACTTAACTGGTTTGAATCCTACTTGAAGGACAATTGAATACTTTGTGTCTGTAGCTAATTACACATCAGAGCTGACTAAAATGACATGTGGTGTTCCCCAAGGTTCAATACTGGGGCCTCTTCTGTTCAACATCTACATGCTTCCACTTGCTCAGATTATGAAAAACAACAAAGTGTGTTATCATAATTATGCAGACGACACACAAATCTACATAACTATATCACCAGGGGACTATAATCCCATACAAGGGCTGGGTAACTGCATTGAACAAATCAACAACTGGATGTGCCAGAATTTTCTTCAATTAAACAAAGATAAAACAGAAGTAATTGTTTTTGGTACCAAGGATGGACGATTGAAAGTCAGCGCTCAGCTTCAATCACTGATGTTAATTGAACCAGATTCAAGGATATTAATCAATTTCCTGCATTTTACTACTGTATTTTATTTCTTACACTGCTTATTAGTGTTTTAATGACTGTTTTTAATGTTTCAATGAATGTTCTTAATTGTTTTTAAATCTCCTTTTCTTTTGCTTTATGTTTTGATGCTTTTAATGGTTTTATGTGAAGCAATTTGAATTACCTTGTTGTTGAAATGTGCTATACAAATAAACTTGCCTTGCCTTACTGCCCTGAACAATAACTACTTGGCATATATGGACTGTGTGACTGTAGTGTCTACAATAATGTACACCAGTTTCTGTTTGATTGTCTCAGCATTTGGAGCTGGTCCACTGTGAGTACACTGCACTGGGATGTTGGAGTGGTACAAGTAGCCTACATCTAGCACTTAATTTCCTCAACCTCATCACTGTTGACAAGAACATGGTGAGAGCACGCACCTTGAGGTCAAGGGGTGGAATCTATGGTTAACTGTAGTACACTTACTTTAGCAAACATTAAATGCAGTAAATTTAAAGGAATATTTTGATAGTGGCATTTATTTCCCCGCCCTACATTACTACAAATATGTATTGGGCATGTTTGCCCTTTCATTTATCTAATATCAGTAAAAAGCACGTGTGGAGAGGAACCTGTGAGTAGCTTTATGGCCACAGGGGGCAGCAGTGAGCTCACTGCACAAACCGGAGGTAAAGAAGACGCCGCACTCAAAAACACAATTAAACAAACCACACAAAAGGTGAGATTTGTGCTTTCTCGGAAGTATTTTCAAACATTGTGTTTCACTTCTACAAACGAACAGACTACTACGATACCAACCGACGAAGTTGTCAAATGTCAAAAATGTGCTTAAACTAACATTTCTGCATGTATAACGTTAGCCCTGTAGAAGCAACAGGCAGGAGACTTTCTCCACCGAACCTCACCTGAAGAGAGAAGACCAGAAGCAGGTGTTGAATAAACGTGTGGACGGAGGTATGTCTTTTATGTGTGTGCTCAAACTAAATGTGTTCACCAGCAGCTCACTAACTCATACTTATATTGTTACAGTGTGGTGTAGTACACTGCATACAGTATATTATCTAGCAGTGTAGGATTAAAGTAGTTTCCACAGTCAGTACATGTGAAACCTTAGTGATGCTGTTTGCATTATGTTCATTCCTTTACATGTATGCTTTATAAATTATTTATGGTGGAACAATCATTGATGACAGATTCAGCAATCCAAAATTGAGTCACATGTGACCGCTATGTACTCACATTTACTCCTGACACAGCTACATGCAAGTCATGAAAGGAAACACTTTCTATACATTTCATCTGGGTGCCATGCTTCAAGGAATATGTATTGTTTTCCCGAAAGACATTAGGAGAGAAAAGTGTCACTCTAATGATAATAAAAAAGGGTCATGATTTATCTTTGTTTCATTTTTAACAACAAGCAACAAATCTACCAATGTGTTTTGATATATAAAGCCTTTGTTAATGGCCCTGAACGCCCATGGTACACCTACACAGGTGATTTCAATTGACTAGCTAATTAGTTGTCCTCTCTGGACTGCACAGCAGACTTTTTAACTTGTCAGAGTAAGAAAATCACAGGTGTTTCTAATAACATTAATAACGGCTCAGTAAGCCACATCAGTGTGACAATGAGCCAGCATGTATAATACTGGGACCCTGAAGCTAAAGAAGCTAGAGCTCAGCCATTGTTAATGTTATAAGTATCTAATTGTCAGGTAATTGTTGAAAGGTTACATTAGCTCTCAGTATCCACAATCATTAGTCTCTTCTTTTGTCATTATTTCACTATTTCCATTGAAGTCTCTGAATGGCATACAGTGGTGTGTGTTTGGTTTTTTGGTCATTGTTCAAAGCTTTATCGTTAAATAGACGCTGTTTTGGCTCAAAATGTAACCACTCTGCCTGCCTCTGGACATGTTTGACCTCTACCTTTTGAGCTATCAGACATCCAAGCTGCATTCTAAATCACATACTGCAGTATGTACTWWWAGTACATACTGCAGTTGCCCTTACAAAGTACGTACTGTTGCATGCAGTATACAGTAAATTGGGACATACTACTCCTCATAACAGTGGATTGTGCAAAGGATTGTGGGTCAGAATAGCCAGAAAAGCAGGCTGGCTTGCAAACTGCAAAATGCGAACAAATGTAGTCGGAACATCCTGGTATTTTATGGCATACTGCGTTTGACATACTATGTATTGGGACATACTAAATCTTTTTCTGGCGTATTAAATAGTATACAGGTATTGGAACGCTATAGTCACTCTGATTGTGCTGTTGTGACTGGTGTATCTTTATTTCATCAGCAGCTCGGAACACACCTTCCTCGTCTCTGTCCCCCTTTATATCCGCCATTTGAATGTATCTGTATTTTGTGTGTTTGTGAGTGTGAGGACACTGTGCTGTTACAACTCACCAGCTCTTATTACACGGCTTTGGTGTTTGTACTAATAGATCCAGGGCAAGTGTGTTGACCCCAGTCATGTCGGAAGTTCAGGAGTTGAGAGGGATTTTCTTAAGGGGATCTTTGCCGAAGTGTTTGCTTGTGTGTGTGTCTGTCTCTTTGTATGTGTGTGTTTGTGTAAGCTTTGCTGATTAACACCAGATGTGCGGGGCTCAGGGTGTCAGAGGGCCCCACTGTGCTCCACTGGCCCCGGTTGAAGAAAACGCTCGAGCGACTTCTTCACACATGGCTGACATTAATATCTTTGCTCTTCATCCCCCAGATCCCCACAAGGTTAGAAGCATCAGGTCAGACTAAGAGTTTTAATAAGGAGGTTGTGCAGCAAACGGCAGGCGGTTAATGTAGTTCTCCTGCTGCTCCACTAGAGGGCGGGAGAGGGCTGTAAAACATCTGTAGCGCCTCAACAAAGGTCCCACAGTCAGGTTTGACTCCTGTGAGATAATATTTATTTTCAAGGATCTTTGTAGTTTTTCAGTTCTTATGGAAAAACAGGAACATTGTATTTTTGTATTGCGTGTTTTAAATGACATTTTCAAGAGAAATAGTTTACTTACAAAGTTCCACATAGAAACTGCTGCAATATTTTGAGAAAGTGACTGAATCAAAGTAGTGATTAGTGCAGCAACTAACGATTATTTTCTACATTGATTCATCTCTCGATGATTTTTTTTTGGTCGGTCTATTTATTTATTTTATTCTATAAAATGTTAGAAAATTGGGAAATACGGAAATAAGTTCCCGGAGCCCAGAGCGACATTATGAAACTGAATACAGTCAACAACCAAAGACATTCAACTTACAGTCATGCAAAAGAGCGAAGAGCAGCTTTTATATCGGACTTAAATGATTATTTGATTAATAAAAATGTTGGTGAGAACTGTCATTTGGGTAATTGTGCAAATAATTAATTGTTTCAGTCCTAGTTATGATTTTTGCAATAGTTTAAATGAAAGTTAAAGTAGTTGTATAATCATTCTAAAATAAACGCTGTTTACTACCAAGGACATCCTCCTTTACTCGTATTTTAACAACTTCTTCTTGTCAAAGTAAATCTCAAAATTAATGTAATTTAAAAACAGCTGTCTCAAATAAACTTTTCTTGTTGTATACAAAACTTGAAAATGCAAACATGCACACTCTCTGTGCAGTGCATGTTTGTCTTGAACGCTCAAGTTTGTCTCAAGTGATATTATTTAATTTCAACCGCACTTTTTGAACCCTTTCCTCCGTCCTCACCTCCCAGGTCTCCCCCCCTCCCCCGCCCGTCTCTCTACCTTTTGTCCTTGTGTGAATATTTCACATTGCTGCTGCCGCTGGTGCGTGATGCGGGGGACTGAGCGCTCATTGTGTGCACACAGTGTGGGTGCTGCGGTATGCGGCTCCTCGGCGTGTGGTGTGTCGTGACAGGCGTGTGGCCGCTGACGCCAGCCGGCCGCCTGCCTGTCTGTCTGTCTGTCTGTTCAGTTACACCTGACCGACGCTGACATCGCCATGCCCCCCCACACACACACACACACACACACACACACAAACGCACACACACAGGTAAGAGAATGTGCACACACACGCTCGCATATACATTGCACCACTAGACATGGTGCCCAAAAGTTAAATGAAGCGTCATCGTCTCTCCGCCACTGTAGTCCACAGTACAGGAGGTTGACGAGGGGCTTTGGTGTCCCCTTTGATGTTCTGTGGACTTTGTGAGTTTATGTTTGTAACCAAAATGTCATCAAAATGCAGTTTGCAGGTAATCTAACTCAAAAGATTTAACCTACATGATTTCAACCTAATTTAAATACATTTTTTGCATATCTGCTGCAGTGAAATGCGGCGAAGGCCAGGCGATATTGCAGCGCACTGTGGCATAATCCTTGGTATTTAGTGTGTTCTCTCAGGCTGCCGAGGTGAAAAGTTGAACC